TTTGAAGAAAGAACTTGTAACCTCTGTGGATTAGAAGCCGATTCAGTTACGCATATTCTATGTCATTGTCCAGAGCTAAGAGATCTCCGAGACCGTACTCTAGGGCCAATCATTTCAGACTTTCCGCCCCCCCCCCCAGCTTCTGCCAGGTTTTCTTCTTCATGACTTCTCTCAAGAAACAACGACTTTAGTAGCTGAGTTCCTTGCACAGGTTCTCACTTCCCAGTCCTCAAAAAACTAACTTGCCTCCCCTAAGCACCTCTGCGGTCTCATTCCCCCCCTCCTTACTATTTAATTATTTACTTAACTGTATGTTTTAACTGTTCTTTTCTTTATGCCAATAAAGGTTGTTGTTATTGTATTGTAGTCTTATACATGGACAAATACGGTAATGTCCCAAATTCACATGGTGGATGATGCTGAAGCCAGGTTGGCTTCTTAGATGGAGACAGTGAAGGATCCAAATGGTTTTCAGCTAGCAGTTTGGAATTTATGGCCTGTCTCTTAAAACAGAGGACAGGCAGGGAATCTGAGCGCCCTCCTTCTCTGCCATTTTGAAACTCAAAAGAATTTATTCTTGGCTAGAGGAGGGAAGAATTGCCCAGGAATATGATCTGCCTCTAACAGAATCAGAACCCAAGCCGTTTATGCTTTCTTTACAAGGGCTGGAGTCAATCATCCAAAGGGTCTCTGTAGTTATAAGATTATTTTTATTGTAATTATTATAATTAAGAAGCTATTGTTCCAAGAGAATATGGAGAGACAGAAAGGTTTTCCAGAGGCAATGGTGCCAGACAAGGGCATGTTTGATCTCTTTGCCAGTTCAATCTGTATGCAGAAGACATCATTCATTTAATTTCTCCCCATAGGGGACCCTAGGCGGCTTACATTAAAATCAAACAGTAATAAGTTTAAGATGGCATGCAAAACCATATATTTAAAAACATTTAAATCTTTGTCAGATTAAAAAAAAATTAAAAATTTTAAAAAATGTTAAAATATTTAAATTTCAAAAAAGAGTTGTTCCCCCCCCCCACGCACACACACTTCTTCTCTAAAAGCCTGCCTGAAAAGGAAGGACAAGAGGGAAGGGGGTGCAGTTTGGCTTTTCGGGACAGTGTATTTCGAAGCCTGGGAGCAGCTAGAAAACTGAAGTAGATTCAGAAGAATTAGGAGTGAAAAGTGGTGGAAGAAACACGCAGATGGCATGACCTTACTGTCAGAAAGCAGCAATGACTTGAAACAACTCCTGATGAAAGTGCAAGAAGAAATGCTGAGAAAAGTTGAAGGCAGAAGGCAAAGAAGACGACCAAACAGGAGATGGACTGGCTTCCTAAAGGAAACCACTGGCTCGAGTTTGCAAGAGCCATTTGAGAACAGAGCATTCTGGAGAGCGCTCGTTCCTAGGGTTGCCATAAATTGAAGGTGACTTGACCGCATGTAACAACCACGGAACAGAGGAATGCAGAAAGAAACAATCAGTAATGAGATGGAATTTGGGCAGCAGGTGAAATAAAACGCGGACGAAGCAAACCGTAGTCAAGCTGACGCTCAGGATATCTGCGGGAAGGAAAAGAGAGGGTTGCCCCGCTTTGCTTCTGGCCGAATCCTGCCTGGGTGTCTTCTAGCTCCTCCTCTCTCCCCACCCGCCCCAGGAGAGGTGGTGCTGAAAAGGACAGTGCCAGGCGCCGGCCCCGCACAGTGGCTTGAGCAGGGCGAAGGATGGCTTCGCAGCGAGACCTGGCGGAAAGGCGGAGAGGGCCCGATCCCGGTGGGGCTGAGCGCTCCTGTTGCCTGCGGCAGTTCTCCTGGGCAGAGATCGGGCTCCGCGGCGCCCAGGGAGAACCCCCTGCGGAGCGGTGGCTGGTGATCGATCGGAAGGTCTACGACATCAGCCAGTTCCACAGGAGGCACCCGGGGGGATCCCGCGTGATCAGCCACTATGCCGGGCAGGACGCCACGGTGAGAGCCGGGGAGGGCGGCGGGGCGGTTCCGTCGGGGTAGCAAGGGACCTCTCCCCGCTTCGGAAGCCAAAACGGGGAGAGGTCCCCTGATCTGATTCCGGTATTCAAACCCTTGGAAAGGTCTGAGGTTACTTGGACGAGGTGCCTCCCTCGTTCCTCCCCCCCCCTTTCCCCCTTTCTTTACTATTTAAAAAAGTTCAGTTTAGTTTAGTCGTCCTTTCAGGAAATCAGTAGCACCTTATCATCAGTCGGTACATTTGTGTATCTAATGATTCTATCCTTAGAAGATACGATTTGCTCCTATGGTTGCAAGAACTTTTAATTAGAAATTTATGAACTTTCTCATACAAGTTGTGTGTGTGTGTGTGTGTGTGTGTGTGTGTGTGTGTGTGTGTGTGTGTGTGTGTGTGTGTGTGTGTGTGTGAGAGAGAGAGAGAGAGAGAGAGAGAGAACAGCACATAGACTAAACCATATTGCAGATATCCTATAGTCAAATAATTTTAAATAATGCATGCATGTATGCACATGCTGCACATCATATTTCACCATTCCAATATGTAATCAAAGTGAATCAACATGCTATGAATAAGATGTTTTTTCTGTCCCCATTCTTCATTACAGTAGTTGGGAAACCATGGCTGATGGTATTCCAGCAAAAGCCATCCAGACCTGAAGTAATGGGAGCAGGGAGAGAGACAGCCCAAAATGATACTTTATTTCACCACCAACAAATATTGAATACTACCCAAAGGTCTGCTTCTAATGCTGAGAACCTCCCAAGTGCAAACTATGATATGAGAAAAGTGTGTCCTGTGTTATAGCCCCAGTTCCAAATTGCTATTTAGACAACTTGGTATGCTGTGGAGCCAGAGACTGGGACTTCAGTTCCCCAAGTAGAGCCAGCCTGGGTGGCCTTGGGCAAGCTGCACGGTCCCAGGGTGCCCCCAGAACAAGGGAATCTTAAAGCACTTCTGAATACTCTCTACCTGGACAATCCTGGAATTGACTTGGTGGCACATTATTATTATATTTAGGCAACTTTAGCCCTGTCCAGGTGTTATCAATGGAAGAGAACTAACTTAACTAAAATATACAACTTGTCCCTTAAAACGGCCACAGTGCCAGAGGACTGAAGGATAGCACATGTCACACCAATCTTTAAAAAGGGAAGGAGGGGGGATCCAGAAAACTACAGGCCGGTTAGCTTAATGTCTGTTCCAGGGAAGATGGTGGAAAGCCTCATCCAAGATAAACTCTTAAAACACATAGAAGAACAAGCCTTGCTGAAGGAAAATCAGCATGGCTTCTGTAAGGGTATGTCTTGCCTCACAAACCTTTTAGAATTCTTTGAAAATGTCAACAGGCCTGCGGATGCAGGTGAACTATTGGATATTGCCTGTCTGGATTTTCAGAAGGTGTTTGACACATTCCCTCACCAAAGGCTGCTGAGAAAACTCCAGTTGGGATAAGAGGGCAGGTCCTCTGATGGATTAAGAGTTGTTTGAGAACCAGGAAACAGAGAGTATGTATCAATGGGCAAATTTCACAATGGAGAGAGGTGAAGAGCAGTGTGCCCCAGGGATCTGTCCTGGGACTGGTGCTTTTCAACCTGTTCATAAATGACCTGGAGACAGGGATAAGCAGTGAGGTGGCCAAGTTTGCAGATGACACAAAAGTTTTCCGGGGTGTGAAGACCAGAAGGGATTGTGAAGAGCTCCAGAAGGATCTCTCCAAACTGGCAGAATGGGCGGCAAAATGGCACATGCATTTTAATATAAGAAAATGTAAAGTAATGCACATTGGGGCAAAAAAAATCAAAACTTTATTTATCAGCTGATGGGTTCAGAGCTGTCTGTGATAGATCAGGAAAGAGATCTTGGTGTGCTGGTGGACAGCTCGATGAAAGTATCAACCCACTGTGCGATGGCAGTGAAGAAGGCCAATTCCATGCTAGGTATCATTAAAAATGGGATTGAAGATAAAACAGCCAATATTATAATGCCGTTGTACAAAATGCTGGTAACACAGCACCTGGAGTATTGCGTACAGTTCTGGTTGCCGCATCTCAAAAAAGGCATAGTAGAACTGGAAAAGGTGCAGGAGAGAGTGACTGAAATTATGACTGGGCTGGGGCACCTCATTGATGAGGAAAGGCTACAGTGTTTGGGGCTCTTTAGTCTAGAGCAGTGGTCCCCAATCTTGGGCCTCCAGATGTTCTTGGGCTACAACTCCTAGAAGCCTTCACCACCGCCTCTACTGGCCAGGATTTCTGGGAGTTGAAGTCCAAGAACATCTGGAGGCCCAAGGTTGGGGACTACTGGTCTAGAGAAAAGGCACCTGAAGGGGGACATGACTGAGACGTATAATATTATGCAGGGGATGGATAAAGTGGAGAGAGGGAAGCTCTTTTCCCCCTCAAGCAGTACCAGAACCAAGGGATATCCACTCAAATTAAGTGTTGGGAGCGTGAGAACAGACAAAAGAAAATATTTCTTTACCCAGCATGTTGTTAGTCTGTAGAACTCCTTACCACAGGATGTAGTGATGACATTTGGCCTAGATTCCTTGAAAATGGTTTTGGACATATTTCTGGAGGAATGCCAGGTGCAGGGGAGGGGTATCAGGAGACTAGTATCTAGTTGTCTTGTGTGCTCCCGGAGGCATCTGGTGGGGCCACGGTTAGATAGAGGGAGCTAGACTAGATGGGCCCTTGGCCTGATCCAGCAGGGCTCTTCTTATGTTCTTATGTTCATGTGAGAGATCACCCTCACTCTGTCCCCTTTTGTCCTTACTTAGAGCACATGGTGGTCAATGAGAAACACAAAACAAAAGCACCAAAAAATGACAAAGCTTTTGTGGCACCTTCAAGATTAATTGCTACATTTTAATGTGAGCCTTCACAGATCATGCTCATTTCTCCAGACAGAAGAGCACGAATACAGAGTCTATATGGCAAAGTGTTCGTGTAGGGCCTTAAAATAAAGGGACGGTGGTGTTTGGTTCTTTTATTTTGAAGCTTCGTTGTGTAAACAGCAGCAAATGTTATTGGGTAAAGAAAACAATAGCATAAACAGTATGTGGTAATGAGTTAAGGATGACTGATTTTACCTGTGAAGCTTCTGTGTTAGTTGGGAAGGAAAATAACGACAGATGACAACATAATTGTTGCAGTATTTCACAAATGGTGATGAATTAAGAACCCTTGGTTTATATTTCATCCATTGAGATAGCTATGCAATTTCCCCCCCTCCAGAATAGCAGCTTTCAAATCCTGTGAAAGGTGTCCTGGTAGACTGAAGTGATTTGAAACAGGTTTCTGTGTATTGCCATACCTGATGTCTGATTTGTGTCCACTAATTCTTTTGCGTAGAGGTTGTCCGGCCTGTCTTATGTAGAATGCAGAGGGACATTGTTGGCCAACAACAACAACAACGAAGGAATAGAACTCATTGACAGAAGAACAAGTAAATGTGCCCTTGATGTGACCTGGTTGGATCCTGTAATTCTATTGCCAGAGTAAATGTGGGGGCAGAGTTAGGATCTAGGTTTGTAGCAGGGTTTAATCCATTTATACCTGCCAAATGAGGCACCAAAGACAACAATTTTGGCTTTGTTGCAGTTTATAGCCTGGCATACTTTTGTCACACTCCAAATTATCAGAACAATTGCCCAAGTCTTACTTGAATGGAAGATATTTGGGCCGTCCCATTGGCACATCGTAAGAGCAGTGTCTTAATGCCCAAATGGATAGGTGAAAAGAAACGCAGATACCTTTGTTGCCCACATTACCCTCTTTAATATAAATATTAGAAAGAGTTAGGAAGTAGCTCTGAGAGACTCTTCTCACAGATTGAATTACATTGACATGTGACCATCAGTTCTAGCCCCAAATGCTTTTAATGGGAACATTTGCCACCAGGTAAAATATCCGTTTGTAAGGTCAGCATGGAATAACCTAGCAGAGAAAGGATCTATGCTGATTAAAACAAAAGGCCGGGAATCTTTTGCTTAAATGTTCTAGCATATATTATAACTGTGACATTCTGTTCCATTGCTTGGTGAAGGTTCCTAGGACTAGAGATATGGCAATACAGATAGAAACAACCAGCTTTTGATGTTACACGACTTCTTCCGCTCTAAGTCAATGTTTGATTTGTTGCAGAGATTTGAATTCCCTGTTTGCTGCACAGTAGGAACACAGAGATCCACAGAGGAATATAGATATAAATTCCTAAAAGTCTAGCCCTTTCTTATTAACTGGCACATAGAGTCTCAATAACTTAAACCTGAGACATTTACATAAGAACACAAGAAGAGCCCTGCTGGATCAGGCCAAGGGCCCATCTAGACCAGGTCACCGGACAGTGGCCCCACCAGATGCCTCTGGGAGCACACGGGACAGCTAGATACCTGTTTCCTCCCTCTCCTGCATCTGGCATTTTGAAGTACGTTCCTTTTCAGCCTGGAGATCATATATTCCCCATCATGGCTTGTAACCTGCGATGGACTTTTCCTCCAGGAATCTGTCCAATGCCCTTTACAAGGCAGCTAGACCAGATGCCATCACCACATATTTTGGCAAGGATTTCCACAGACTAACAACACGATGTGTAAAGAAATATTTTCTTTTGTCTGTTCTCACTCTGCCGACATTCAGTTTGAGTGGGTTTGTAGGAGAAAGAATAAAACACATTGCTTACACTTGTTGACAATTACCAGCTTGTGTATGCTGCTTTCTTTAGTCGTATTAGCAAGCAACTGAACAAATCAACAGCAAACAGGCAACTGCCATGAACTGAAGAAAGAGAGGGATGGAACACTCAACAGAGATTGGGGCTCTCTTTCAATTTCAAAAGGCTGGAAAGGAACAATTGGTTAATGCTGGGTAGACAGAAAAACCATCCCAGCCCAGAAGATTCCCTCCCAGTCACACAAACCAAAAAAATCTTGCAAGGTCGCAAGCAAAACTCCAACATGGTTTTGGTCTGTAGAAAGTAGATACAGAAAGCCATTCACACTGAAGTTCAGCAGATTTTTTTTTCCATGTGAAAAGCTCTTCTAGGATTTTATACTGTACTTTCTTTATCTGAATGAAGAAAGACAAAATAGAAATGTAACAAAAATATTACGAGGACATGTATTTTTTGTATCTTCGCTTTCTCTTATGCTGATTTATTGTGTGTTTTCTTATTATTATTATCTTAATTTGTTTGTTTTTGCTTCAGGACCCTTTCACAGCATTTCATCCTGACAAAACTCTGGTAAGAAAGTACATGAAACCCCTTCTGATAGGGGAACTGGCGTCTGATCAGCCCAGCTTTGAACCCAGCAAAAATGTAAGTCCGTTTCATAACTCGCAAACAAAACTACCTTGGATACTAATTTAAAGCAAAAGTCTGGCTACAGCCTGGCAAAACCCTCCATCTCCCTCCAGGCATTTCCTGCAGGTCCAATTCTCCCCCCCCCCCCCCCCCCCCCCGCCACCATGACCTGCCCTTTCCGATTAAGAGGGAGGAAAGCACTCCTGTTTGCTTTGCAGTAGGTGGAGATAAAACCTTTTCATCTCCCAGCAAAGAGGGGGTTTCTTTTAGCCCTGGGTGAGGAAAATATTCCTCCTCAGTTCCTTGGCATACATCAGCCGATGAGAAAGGGTGTGCATAGCTTTCTGTTTCCATGTAGGACTGGCGTGTCTGTGTGTGTTTGTTTGAAAATGGGGGAGCACACACTAGCACTAGACCTGCCTACTTTGGGCAACAGCCCGGGGCCAAAATAGTTCCCCATCCCTGCTCTAATGTCACAACAATCTACTTCAAACTTCAGCAATCCTGCCTAGGAGGAGCAGAAGAATGTGGTGGGTGTTCCCCTCAGTAAAGAGCCGAACCCACGTTTTCATTCCTATTTCAACATCTGAAAAAAACTCACTCAGAGCCATAAAGACCATCCCAGAAGGTGGAGCGTGTCCAATTCAAGTTCTTTGCTTCCTGTTTTAGTTTACCTTACTATCCCATCTAAAAAATTTGCATAACTACTCTCCAACAGCAGCAGTTCTCAAAGTCATTGACAGCACCAAAATTAAGTCAGATTTATAGGCACAGTTTTTTCAGTTTTTATTTCAAAATATCCATATTCTAATTTCATTTCCTGAAAAACAAGTATCCTAAAGAAATTTTCAGCAGAACACATACAAGAAAACTAGTAGCTAAAAACAATGGGACTATAAAAATTAATAAAAGTCATTAAAACAATTCATTAAAAATACAAGTAACTGATAATGTATTAATTGGGGGAAAGTCAGGAAAATGTCTGGGCCAAAAGCAGGTCTTCATTTGCTAGTGGGAACACTAGGAGCCCACCTAATCTCAGTGTGAACACTATTCCACCTTCTGGGTGCCACAACAGAGAAGGCTTTCCTCGGTTCTGTAGATGTACAAGCCTTTCTCAGTTGTGGTGCAGTAAACTGAGAAGGTAAAGACTGGCACAATCCGTATGGGAGAAGGTGCTATATAGGGCATTGTAGGCCAAAAGTCACCCTTTTAGCCTGGCCCAGTAATTAACTGGCAACTGGTGCAGATTTCTCAGCCCAGGCATTCTATATGCACAGGAAAAGCCCACACGATGCAGTCCAGCTCCCACATTCTGCACTTGTTTCCAGACCAAGCCCAAGGGTAGTCCCTACATTAGAACAATCCAATCTGGATTATGTGCTATCTCAAGGAGGATATCCAGAAATACATGCTGCTGTCAATGGTATCATTCAGTGGTATCATACGGCTTCTCTAAAAGAAGACAGAAGTGATAGATGGTACTGAGAGGGACTGGTGCTCGTTTTGACAGTTCCTACGACTTTACCCCAAAGGAAAATCCAGAAATACAAGCAGGTGACTTGATCTATATCACCAAACCCATCTAGCAGTTTTCATCTAAATGAGTTCAATAATGGCTATTAACTATCCACTGAAGACTAAGTCATCCCAAAATAATCTCAGAGGGAACAGGAGAGTGGCTAACTTTTGATTAGCAGGGATGATAGCGTGTCATCATCCCTGCTAATCAAAAGTTAGCCTAGTTGTTTGACTCTTGTGAACCGCAACTGTTCTGCTACACCAAAGCAAAGGGGGCAGAGGATCCTTTCAATCCTCTTCCTAATCCTCAAGATGTTTTTGGTGTAACTCTGCTTCACAGCAACTAAGTTTGCCCTGTGAGGTAACAAGCTCTGTAACACTGGACTTTCTCCACAGAAATTGATAGTAGAAGATTTCCGGGAGCTGCGATCCACAGCTGAGAAATTGGGACTCTTCAAGCCAAACAAACTTTACTTCTTCCTGCTTCTTCTGCACATCCTCATATTGGATGCTGCTGGCTGGTTTGTCCTCTGGCACTTTGGGATATCTCTAAAAACTTTCTCCATTGCCACTGTATTGTTGACACTTGCTCAGGTAATTTTCTTGGGGAAAAAATAGTCTATCCACACATTGAAATGAGCTCAGCTTCCATTATATGCTTTAAGATTTATAGTTTACTTTAATTCACACTTCTTACATTCTGTGTTCCAATTGTCTGTGTTGTGCAGCATCAGACTTTCCTTTCACATCTGTGCATGTCAGCCACTTGATATCCTTTTGGCTTTAATCAAGTTGTGTCATTAGCAACAGTGCTATTTTTAAAGTAAGAAAAGTTCAACAACAGTTACCATTGCCTCTTACGTAGTACTAATAAAAGTTAGCTTGTACATCACTGCTCTTGTCTGTGAAAGATCTTCCATCAGTGTCACATTTGTTCCTGCTGCTTCCCAGTAGCTACCCTCCAGAGTTTTCTCTGTTCCCATTACCATTGGAACTATCCATTATCTTCCACTGATATGGCCATTGTTCCTGAAGAAGGTGAATGTATTTTGCTTTGGTGCCTCAGTTTTGACCTTTTTATCCAGCTGGATGATCTGTTGGATGATAGTGTGTTCTCTGGAAATCTGATTATTTCTTGAAAATTCCTTTTGCTTAAGGAAATTTGTTAGGCTAGTTGGCTTTATTATTTTGCCTTTTGTATTCCCAAACTGTATTTTCTGTTTGCTTCCAGTTTCAAGACCTTTACAATTTGGCTTTTCTCTGCTCTTTTAAGAAAAATAGAAAACTTCTCAGAAATTCTATGACTTACTTAATGTATCTGGATTTCTGGGGATCATCTCGTACTAAATCCTGCCTAGCTTTTTGGTCATGCTACCAGTTTTCTGGTGTCTGCCTGGAACTGTGTGAATGATGTCTGTATGAAAACTTTGGTATGAAATTAAGATTGTCGGTCTTAATTTCCTGAAGACTCACAAGACAAGTTGGCAAAGGCTCATATTGCTCAAGATGGAGGATGGGGACGGATATGGTGGCAGTCTATGTTGCACATTGTAACATTGGTTTTGCCTTGGTGGAAGTTAACCTGCTTTTGCTATTCCTGTCAGTGATGCCCAGTCTGGGTGCTGATTTGACCCAGGTGGTGATTGCATTTGGGAAATCAGGAGCAAGGTAGCTTTGGGATCTGCTCTGTTGCACTCTGTAGATCAGATCAGGCAGAGGCACCCCACAGTCCTTCGCACAGTGGTAGCCTGAGAGCTGTGGTTCAAAAAAAGGTAAGTTAGCTCCTCTCTAGGATGTCACCAAGTTCTAAGGAAGTCAGATAGCTGAATTTGAGGGAAGCTCCAGAGGTTGAGAAGAAACAACAAGGACTGCCACCACACATCTTGGAACATTTTCCAAGGCAGTTGGCCCTGGTGATTGTATTAAAAATTGTATTTCCCCCTTCTCTATTAACCTTTGTTATGATTCAGGTTGGCAGTTCTTGTGTATTTTGAACATACTCAGATCTAAGTATCCAATGATCTTAGGACTGACAAAAAAAAAGTGTGGATGCGCATGATCCTGGCTTTGTGTTTGCTTGCTTGCATGCTGGGGCAGATAAACAGTAGAACAAGACCCTTCTTTTTCTGAGTCATCCCCCCCCCCTTTTTTTCTTTTAGTCTCAGGCAGGATGGCTCCAGCATGACTTCGGTCACCTTTCTGTCTTCAAAAACCCAAAATGGAACCGCATTCTTCAGGAGTTTGTCATGTGCCATCTGAAGGTAACTGTGTTACTGTGGATTTCTACTCTAGCACTAGTGCTAGTTCTCATTCTTTGGGGTATTGTGTCTTATCAGCCACTTTATCAAAGGATCCGTGTCCCACCATGATCAAAGGCAAAAAGTCCACTTCTTCTGAGAAAGGCATTTTGATGTTTCCAGGAGCCGCAGCTGAAATCCTGTTGTTTAGTGTAGCAAGTTGCACTAGAGTAAGCCCAGTGAATCAGAGTGGATGTGGTGAGTCAACCATTCTCTGAATTTTGTCGATTAAAACTAACCTGCTCTAGTTGTGAGTTACTAAACTAGGACCCTGTGAATAATGAAACTTATGGAGGAGGTGACTCACCCAATTCCCACAGATTCAATGGATCTACTCTAGTGTAACTCACTAGATTAAGCAACAGGATTTTAGCCATTATTTTTGTCATTTACAGCACTGGTTCTTAACCTTGGGTTACTCAGGAGTTTTGGACTGCAACTCCCAGAAGCCTTCACCACCAGCTGTCCTGGCTGGGGTTTCTGGGAGTTGCAGTTCAAAAGCATCCAAGTAACAAAGGTTAAGAACCACTGATTTACAGTATGTTGGATGGCAGGGGAAGGGGGGAGTAGGAGAAAAAGTGGTTATCCAAAGTTACTATTAGTATATCCAAATTTCTCACATGTTTTATCCATGGCAGAGGAATGGGAGATGGCATATCACTCCTGCAGAAGATCATGGGGTTTGGAGGAAGACAACTGCTTGGGCATTGTTATGAAAATGATGTGCCAGAACATGCTGAGAACCAATGTTCTACAGAACTTGCCAGCAGGGGTGTAGCATATTGTCTGGTATTTGAAAAAGAGTCCAGTAAACACTAAGTGTTTCTTCCTTTCTAAAAGCAATTACTGTAGTTTCCTCTTGAGTAGCTGGCCCTCCATTTGCCTGTCTAGTGCCCTTAGCAGGCAAAATGTGTGACCCAGTGTGGATCTGTAGCCCCTTCCCACGTTAGAGAGTGCTGCAGCCCTATTTCTCTGCTTTTGTCCTCCTCTGCAGGGGCTTTCAGCCAACTGGTGGACTTTGCACCATGCCCAACATCATGCGAAGCCCAACTGTTTCCCAAAAGATCCAGATCTTACTTTTCATCCCATGTTGTTTTCCTTAGGGAAACCTCTCTCTTTAGAGGTAAGGTGCAATGTTAATTCTTGCGGCTGAGATGAGTTTTCTTGGACCTGTTATTAAAGGAGATCCATGGCCGGGTTCAAGGCCAGACTCTGCTTCAGCGACCTTGGTTGAACATCTCTGACAAAACTAGTGTGATTCTTCTGGACCACTTATCAGGATCTGATGCCATTGATCAGCCCGAGCTTTTTGTATGACCTGAGATAACTGACAGTGAATCTGCTTGCATATCTAATGGCTCAGATAGCAGAGGATAGAAGGTGCCGGCTGCTAGTGTTTGTTACAGGCACCAGTTTTGGAGATGCAAAAAGGGTCCATCTTGACCTGGGGGCCCTTTACTGTCTTTGTGCAACTGGTGGCAACTAATCTGACAATCCCTGCTCTATGTTTAAATTCCTCTCTCTGATCAAATCCTGGGGGATCAGTTCAGTACCGGTTGTTGTTGTTGTTTAATTGTTAAGTTGTGTCCGACTCTTCGTGACCCCATGGACCAGAGCACGCCAGGCCCTCCTGTCTTCCACAGCCTCCCGGAGTTGGGTCAAATTCATGTTGGTTGCTTCGATGACACTGTCCAACCATCTCGTCCTCTATCATCCCCTTCTCATCTTCCCTTCACACTTTCCCAACATCAGAGTCTTTTCCAGGGAATCTTCTTTTCTCAAGAGAAGACTCAGTACCCGAGTACATGCATAAACATGATAAGGGGCTGGACGAAGCTCCCCAGTTTCAAGCTTACTGCAGAGAAGTCAGAGCTTATGGATCTGGAATAATCTAGGAGTGGAAGGTTATCAGTTCTATCAGCCCAGATAAGATTATACTCCCACTAAAGAGAAGAAGGCTTGCTAAGCAACCCTCTTGCAAGCTGCATTGCCCTGGGGTTCACCAATTGCTCCAGGTGTCAGCTTTCAGTCACCTGGTAGTCTGTGGAGCCACCTTCATCTCTTAGACAAAACTGTTAAACTCTGACACTGACTACTGCAACACACACTATCTTTGGGGCTAACCCTGGAGATTGTGATCTGTAAACTCCAGGGCATGATCCTTAGAAGGAGGTAGTTTTGATGATTGCTCTACATGGGGAAGCCTGTGCAAGTTCTACAAAAAGCACTAGCTAGTCCAGGATCTCATTGGAAGGACAGATCCTGAAGCTGAGGCCTTCACGAATATAAAGACCCTGATGTTGGGAAAGTGTGACGGCAAGAGGAGAAGGAGACAACAGAGGACGAGATGGCTGGACAGTGTCTGCGAAGCAGCCAACATGAAATTGACACAACTACGGGAAGCAGTGGAAGATAGGAGGGCCTGGCGTGCTCTGGTCCATGGGGTCACGAAGAGTCGGGCATGACTAAACGACTAGTCCAGGATCAATTGGTACCCCACAACTCTCCCTTCTAGGACAGAAGGCAGCTTACAGTATACTTTCAGAAAGTAAGTTCAGGTTAAAATAAAAAAAATAAATAAATTACAGCATCAACACAATGGCATAACGTACACCAGCAGGAAAGAAATGTCCCCTGCAGCATCAGATTGACACTTCCTAGACCGTCCCTCCTGCTATGACTCCTTATGGGATTCCTCACTCAGTGGGAGTTGGGCGACTTTGCAGGCCCCCACCCCACCCCTGAACTTGCTTGGATTCCTGGCCACGTACAAAACTACTAGACAAGATTATGTTCCCACTGAAGAGAGACTGTGATTCCTCCTGCCATGGCACAGTTTGGAATGGCATGAGGAATTGCAGCCAGGGCTGGAAGTAGAATTGACCTACCACTGCACATGATATCCTTTCCCCTGCATTCGTGTAAGTTACACAAGAGAATGTTGTACCTTATTACATTAAAAGAATTATAGAATTAATGCTGCTCATTTATTTATTTTTTTAAAAATTGTACCCTGCTTTACTCCTTAAGAAACAACAGCATCGGTACAACAACGATGCCTGCCCATCTGATTAGGGACCAAAGGCCTGTCTGAATAAAAATGTCTTCATCTCCTAGTGGCAGAACAGTGAGGTGGAGGTGGCTGGGATGACTAGCTTTCCTCAGAAGGATATTCCATAGTCTGGGAGCATCCACTGAAAAAGCTCTCCCTCTATCCCTCTATCCCTCTCTCTCAATCTCAATTCCACCACCCCCCTTTGTGGAGATGTGCATCTTCTATGAACACAGGTATGTTTGTTCATATTTCTGCTTCATGTTCAGGCGTGGCTCCTTCCCTCCCTCCATCTCTCCCTTTAGTACTAAAGAACTGCCTCTGACCCATTTCCTGCTTTTTGTGCCATTTTGTGAAGTCAAGAGTTGCTGAAGTCTGGCTTTTTATTATGGTTTTAGATGTATAATCATGTTTAATTTTGTCAGTGTTATGGGCTTTATAAATTGTATGCTTTGTAACAGAAAATGTGGCATGTATATTTTAACCAAATAAGCAGGTTAACTTTGAAAAGTCAGATAGGTTAACAAGTATTGCCGACATAAGGTGTGATGCATTAGAGATATTACTGGGTGTAACATCCCATGAAATCCATTAATCATTCCGGTGGGATACCTAGAATCACCGTGATAAGTCAACACAGAGAGATGGTTGAGTTCCATTCACAAAACGCTAGACAAAGTACTTCCCCATTCTCATTTGGGTTAATTAAAAGCACTACATGTTCCCATTTGGACTACGCCTTGGTGTTAATGAGAAGCACAAACTGAGCTAACTCTTGATATCTCTGGGATGGAAAAAGCAGTTCTGTTGATATTTGTTCTGAAACTTGGTCCCATGAGATTGCATACTGGGGCAGAAGGAAATCAGAGAAAAATGTGGGTTAGCAGCGGCTACTGCTGAGTTTTTCACACAGCTTGAAATGTTCTCCTTTTGGATGGCATCTCAGAGAATTCTCCCATCTAAAACTTCTCCTGCCAGTAGATATGGGGTTTAGATATGGGCCTGTCCTCCTCATCACTTGATTGACCTCATGTTTTGAATCTAGTGCCCATTCCATTTGCATTTTTTGCATCTACCCATTTATGCAAAGTGCCAGTGGGGGAAAATTCACTCATGACAGGATGGCTGTGTCCAGGCTTTCCTTCTTTTTGCCTTGTCAAAAGCATCCATTGCTTTGTGCAAATGCGCAAAGGATATGTCTCTATGCATGTTTCTGTCCAAGGTGAAATCCTTAGCAAAGGACTGATGGTTTGTTTCCCCTCTTCTTTTTGGCCCTCTCTCTCTTTTACAGCTGGGTATGCAGAAAAAGAAATACATGCCGTACAATCATCAGCACAAGTACTTCTTCATCAGTGAGTTCTTTGCTTTTCTCACATACGCCTTCGACACAGAAACATCCTCTCCTGCTAAGCCGCCAGGCAACCTTCTCTCATCTTAAAAACTTTTAGCTTATCAAAAGATCCTGTTTCACCCTTAGCCCCCATTTTATTTAAATTTTGAAAAGAGATATGACTTTTTAAAAAGAAAGAAAGGAAAAAGGAGGGAAAGAGAGAGAGAAAAGGGACTCACAGTTTTGCTGTCTCATGTCTGGCACAGAGTGCTGAAGGCTTATTTATTAAAAAGCTATTAATAATAATTATGTGCCATCAAGTCAGTTCTGATTTATGGCACCCCATGGTAGGGTTTCCTAGGCAGGAAGTGATCAGAACTGGCCTACCCTTTCCTTCCTCTGGTGATCCTCCAAGCCTGTGCAGCTTGCCCATGGCTACAAAGGCTGGCTCTTCTCCCAGAGGGCATTGTGGGAAACCAAACTCTGACCCACTCCAACTCAGTGAGCTGCCCAACCATATACAGTAAATAGATATTAGCAGTAGAAGGGGGGGGGCAGAAGAAACAGCAGCAGAAAGAAGAGGCCTTCCACAGTTCATACCTTGAGTATATGGAGTATACTTGCTTTCATATCATTGTGCACTCCTTAGTTCACTTAATTCACTCAGCAGCATCTACCACCTAATACAGTTTGGCTATCTGGAGGTGTAAGGCAGAGTGATTCTGCTAAAGCTAAGCAGGTCCAAGGCTGGTTCATATCTGGATGGACATCTACCAGGGCCCCTGTGTATCCCAAAGTGAGATCTGTGGAAGAAAGATGGGCTATAAATGTAATATAGATATCAGGCCAAGAAGCAGAAAGCTGTACAGAACAGGAGAAAATGCAGATGGAGCAAGGTCAGAATACAAAATTCGACTAAACTGTGCAACATGCCATATGGTGAAATTATATGTGAAGAAATTGATGATAAATGTGCAGGAAGTCAAAGTGTATGAGGAGAGAAACAATTAACACAAAGGTCCTTGTTTCATTTCAGGTTTTTGTAGCTTTGAATATAAGCGATATACTTAGGTTTTTCCTCCTTCTCAAACGGATCACTTTGTCTTTGAAAAATAATAATCAATAACTCTGTCCCTCTTTTTTCCTTCTACAGCAATGCCACCAATTGTAAAACCTCTATTTCAGATTTACTCATTGTACTTCATATTCAAGCGCAAACTATGGCGGGTAAGTGTTCTATAATTACAGGCAAGCCTTTCCAGATATTAAAATACTGAATTTTCTTTCCTAACGTTGAGTTTGAGTATAGTTAGGATTTCATCTGCAATGATGTGAAAATGTTGTTACAACATCCGTTAGCGGTAATAATGGCACAAGCCGGCTTTGGTGCAAAGATGGTGGGAAGAGCAAGAGGCGCCCCCTCCTGGAGTGCTTTGCTGCTGAGGGCTGTGACTCATGCCGCTCAGTGGAAGGAAACAGTGCAAGCGGAAAGGGAGGAAAGCGTGGGGATTTCTCTTTCTGTACCAGGACCTGGGCTGGGGAACATATAGTCCTCCACAGGTTGTTGGGCTGCAACTTCCCCCACCCTTTCCCATTGGTGATGGCTGCTTGGTCTGATGGGACTTGGAATCCCATAACATTGATTGGAGTCCACAGGTCTCCCTTTCTGAGATCAAAGGCGTGTTCATCTGGTCCTGGAAAGTGTGATCTTATAATCGTTATTTTCCCCTTAGTTGAATCCTCTTCTACATCCAGTCCTCATAATATAGGGTACATATATACTCAGCCATGGAAACTGACTGGGGGAATGGAACTGGAAAAAAAGGAGCACTCCTTAAATATCTCACTTCCCTTGAAAACCTTAATAGGGTCACTCTAAGTCAATTTCGATGTGACAAGCATGTAACAAAACGTAGGACTGGGTGTAACAACAAAACATTGGACAGCATGTAACAGCAACATACTGTTCCATGGCTGTAGAACTTGTGACACACACCAAGCCAAACACAAACCACCCATCTGCTCTTAAATTCTGTGAGAGGCTTGGCAATCACCGAAGGATAGGCTGTGGGTCCGAGCCAGCAGGCCATCCATTAGTCAAGTCATGGATTGACTTGGTCAAGGAACTTAGTCAAGCCGCTAGCTAGCTATGACAGAGGGCTGGAGTACTGTGTACACATTGCTGGCTCAGCTTCTCAAAACTAAACTAGGTGGAACCCTTGCCACAGAATTTTGTCGATATCTCGTACGGGGCAGGTGAAATTGACAGGATTCTGTATTTTAAATTGAAAAAGGAAATGGTTTGTAAATTGTGGGCATGGACATGGTGCTGCAGGGAGAGCTTTGAATGAGTAGGTTGCCCGTGTGTGTGTGTGTGTGTGTGTGTGTGTGTGTGTGTGTGTGTGTGTGTGTGTGTGTGTGTGTGTGTGTGTGTGTGTGTGTGTGTGTGTGTGTGTGTGTGTGTGTGTGTGTGTTTTCAGTTCATATTGACCAAAAGATTTGAAAAAGCTGAAATCAGCAAGTTTATGATGATGAAGGCATGTGGTCCCTCACAGTTTCATTAGGAAGATGTACTTCTAGATGTAGGACTGCTTGAAAGAAGTGTTCATTGTGCCTGATCCTTGGTTTGAGATGTACATTTACATGTGGCCAAGGGGAAAGATGATACTGTGACTGATGCATTCCTTCTCTCTCTCTCTCTCTTTCATAGGAAATGGCATGGAGCATGGCTTACTTTGTCCGTTTCTTTATTGCCTTTGTGCCCATAATGGGTCTGAAGGGCGCTATGGGATATATTCTCCTGCTCAAGTACAACTCCTTTTGGTTCCTATTGTTCTCTCATTAGCATCAAATGATTCTTCTTTTGCCTGATCCTCAAGTTGTGCCTTTCTTAACCCCATCAAATTGCTTCTAGGAAATCTACCTCCATTCCCTCCCCCACTGTACACATACTCATCCTCTAATAAGTGCAACATTGAGTGTCCTTTTATCTATGTGAATGAACCCTCTTAGCACATCTAATGCTTCAGACATACCTTCCACACCATCTGATGTAACTCCAGATGCATCAAGGAATGTGGGATGGAGCCTGTGCAGCTGTTCCCCTGCAAGCCATTAAGCAAAATTAGTGGCACAGAAAGCACATAAAGAATGTGGAGGCACCTGAATGTGCTTTCTGTGCCACTTGCTTTTCAAACAATGGACTTGTTTGAAATCCTGTGTTTTTGCTTTCTGTTTAGTGTCTTCATGTTTGTATCAAAGGACCTGAGTAGATTACTCAGAGTTTTGAAAAAGAAAAGCAGTGGGTTCTTTCTGGACTAGTTTAGTTGCACTCTAGTCCCAAGGAAGAAAATTAATGTTGCTCAGTTCATCCCATTGATTTGAATGGGACCAAAATATGACTTTGTCCAAACCTAACTCAAAGGCTGAAATCTTGTTATTTAGTGTAAATCAAATAGAAACTTTCAGCCCATTGCTCCCTGGTAAACAAAAAGTAGTACCTACTAAAATTCTCAAGACACACCCTTGCAAGCACCAAGCCAGCATGTGTGTACACCATGAGAATAGTGTAGATGTTGTGAGAAACAATTGGTTGTTATTAAAGAAATGAGTGTGCCTCAACAGAAGCATCCAGCCAGTATATGCATACACCCGAATAATTGCAGCAAGGGCAGTTTATTTAGCTGGAGAGGAAAAGACTGAAAGCTGCAATTTAACTTACACTAATCAATGGGATTTTGGCCAATGTGCCTTCCACCACCAACACCAAGATTGGCATCTACTATTTATTTAGACAAGAAAGGCATCAAGAGATTGTGCCTGACTCACATTCTAAGCCTAGCAGATAAAGAGAATCACTACATCAGATGTTGATTCCATATCTAAATGCATGTTCCAAGGAAAATATTATTTGTTCTGATAAGAGCTTGCCACAAATAGCAATGTGGTCTATAGGACTATTGCATTAATTTCCCATGCAAGCACAGTGATGCTCATGGTGTTGCAATAAAGACATTTACCCTTTATGCAACATGAAATGTTTGATGTTCAAGCTGCATTCCATGAGGCACTCGAGATCATATTGTGAATATACATCAGTCAAGTGTGTATTTATTCTTCCTATCTGTTCAGTGTGTATGCAGAACACTTTGTTTGTTTGTTTAATGTGCTGTCTTTCTCCCCATAGGGGACCCAAGGCAACTTACAATAACTAAAATGATACAATAATAAGTTTAAAATGCTTTACAAACTTAAAATATCTAAATTTCAAAAAATACAGCGATCCCAAGAGACTTATCACTTAAAAACCTGCCTATAACGAAATGTCTTTGCCTAACGATGGAAGGAGAAGAGAGAGGGGGGACACCAATCTGACTTCTTGGGGCAGTGCCTTCCATCTTACTGGCAGAAAGCATTAATGACTTGAAACAATTCCTGGTGAAAATGAAAGAGGAAAGTGCCAAAGCAGGATTGCAGTTGAACATCATGAAGCAAAAAATCCTGACCATGAAAGCCTTCTACAACTTCAGCGTTGATTATGAAATTGTCAAAGATTTTGTGTAGCTTGATTTTATCATTAAACCAAATGGAGATTGCAGCTAAGGAGAAGAATACAGGTACTCAGGAGGGCAACAATAAAGGAACTAGAAAGAGAATCACATGTAAAGACATGACATGGAAGAACTTTGCAGATGCTCTGGACTGCCAGAAACAGAAATGGGCCCAAACTGAAATAAAGCCTAGACTATCTCTGGAGGCAAAAATGACAAAACTGACGCTGTCCTGCTTTGGGCACATCATGAGGATGGAAAAGACAATAAGTTAAAGGCAGCAGGAAAAGCAGAAGCCCAAATATGAGATGGATTGATTTTCTACAGGAAGCCATAGCAGCCTTAAGTTTGCAAGAGCTGAGCAGGGCTGTTGAGGACAGGACCTTCTGGAGGTCACTCATTCATAGGGTCGCCATAAGTCAGAGGCAACTTGATGGCAAGTAACAACAGCAACAGATCAGCTGGCTTTGATTTTCAGTTGGGCACTTGGGAGACAGTGCAGCTTTGTTTGCATATTTGATGTCTCAGTCATATAGCGCTGAAATATTTGTGTGCCAGGGAAAATATACTGTATTCTTGACGTAAATGGAGAAAATCGCAGCTTGTCTTAAAATAGGCTCTGACTCTTGTGTTTTTCAGCATTCTGAAAAGTGTCTTGTTCACGTGGATCTCACAAATGAACCATATTCCTATGCACATTGATTATGATAGAAACTTGGACTGGTTCTCTACCCAGGTAAAAACAGTTTGCTTATTTTTAAAAAATTATCCCATTGTCCTTCAATATGATGAATATCTGAGATTAAAATCCACACCAGAAGCTCTACTAGATGACTATAGGTATGAGCTTGTTCTCTCACGTACAAGTACGTGACTATGATAACATTAAAGTAAAACAGGCATGCTATTGCATTACAGTACTTACCGTCAGTTATCTTTATCTGCACTTTTTTATGTCACTGCCTTTGCTAGCTTTAGTAACATTGCCCTGGGAAAGATTTTGAAGTATGGCATAGAAATCAAATAGATTTCAAACTAGGAGCATTAACTAAACAAGATACTTGACAAAAGCTGAAATATTATTCTCCAGGATTCTATTTTTGTCCAGAATCAGGCTGCCCTTTATTTAGGAAGAGATTTGTTTTTATTCCAAACATTTCTCCTTATTTAGTCTGGAATAAGGAGGGAATTTGCAATTTGAGGGGGAAACAGACATCATACACATAGAAAGCTAAATAACTCTCCCGAATTGTGTTTTGCTGATCTGAATTTTAAAAATGTTATGACATTGCTTTCCCAATTTTCTTGGAGAGAGAAATTTTCTTGAATTCTAATGCTATCAATGTAATTGTTGTGCCCATACCACAACTGGCCCAGTACCTCGGAGAGCTCCATGTGAACTGCTTGCTCTGACACTGTGGGGAGCTCAACCTGAAGCTTTTATTCCCCGCCTAAACCATAGGTTCCCAAACCTCGTATGTGTGTGACCCCAAGGAGATCGTGAGGTCACCAAAAAGTTACTCTGTGCCAGAAATTGGAGCATGATTGTCTGGCACATCTCCAGAAAGGAGATGGAGGGAGAATTCAAAGTGGGAGGAGGTGAGAGGATGAAAGAAAGTGAGACCCTATGGGACGGAGATGGGACAGGGAGGGGGAAGCCAATGGTGAAATAGAGTGAAAGGGGGAAAGATGCTCTTTTCGGAGAAAGAGTGGACCATAGTATCCTGTTTCAGGGAGATACCTGTACTATATAAGAGGATAGGACTGGGGAAAGCATGGGAGGAAGCCGGAGTGATTACAGTTTTATCGCTGAAGGAAAAAGTGAGGGGTGCCCTGCCCAGAGTGAGGGAAGGCTCTTTGTGTGAGAAGGGAGCTGGTGGTGTTAACCGGGATCTTATTTCATTTTCCTCCTAGTCTCTCTTCCCTCCTTCCCCTCTCCTGTGAGTCCACCCCTTCTGTTTCCTAACGATGCTTGGTGGGGGTGTTGGGCTTGAGGGACAGGTGGCAGAGAGGAGGATGCCAAGCAGGTGGGCGGGTCATGAGGGCAAGGGGAAGGAGGGAGGGAAGGAGGCCGGGTGAGAAAGAATGGAGCAGTGGGCTGGGGAGGACCTGCACATGCAAGAGAATGAGAGAGAGTGCTATGGGAGTGTGGGAGAAAAGGCAAGCGTAAGCAAGTGTAAAGACCGAGGAAGGATGGTGGCCCGGGCCCAGCTCTTACTTAAGGCATAGGAGCAGGTCAAACCATTGTAGGCACACAGCACAGACTCCCTGGGCTTGGCAATTCAGGCATCAGCAAGAAGGGAGGGGGGGGAAAGGGAAGACCAGGGGAGGGGTTTTATTAATGTAAGGAAAAAGCAAAAATGAAACACAGTTGGAGAAAGGGAGGCACCATCAGTGTGAGCTCACCACCCATGACTCCTCTGCCTCCCTCACTCCACAGCTCCGTGCATTGCACGGAGCCACCACGAGGGATGGGAAGCTGCCTCAAAGAGAGTGGAGCTGGGAGTGTCCTTTTAGGCAGGAAAGTGGGGGCATCTTCCCCCTCTTTCCCTTCTGCTTTTGTCCCCCAAGCTGGGTCTACTTCCTGGGATCTCTGGGAAGAGATTCGCTCTCCTTCATGGCCTGCCTCAGACCTCCAGCCAGAAGAAAAGGCAGGCATCCTCTGATGGAACAATGTAATGTCTGGCGGGAAGAACTGAGAGGCAGCTTTGCACTGAATTTGTTTTGCCACAACTCATTAGTTTGGACCTCTCTGCTCATGGGGTTTCAGCTGAAATATATACTTTTGATAAGAAAGTAAAACAGTGATGGCAGAGGCTGGTTGGGTTCGTCTGTTGCAGCAAAAACAAGGGGTTTCACGGCATTCTTGTTTGGCATAAGCCTTTGTGGACTCTTGTTGTCACATGCCAGCATGTCACTTTGGACATGTGACAGACTTTTTAAGGAGTGGTATTTGGGGGTGAGTGTGTTGTAGGAGTCACAAAGGAGCTGGACATTTTGGGGGGGGGTAAGCTGGCACAGGACTTATAGTTTCTTCTATTTTCTTTTAATAATACGTTGGAGCATGTTTTCTTCACTCCATTAAAAATGACTTTTTATGCAAATGATTGGAGCATGTTTTCATTACTCCATTAAAATTGACTTTTTATGCAAATGTGGTGGGGGGTTGCAGGTTATTATAAAAGGGAGCCATGACTTGAAAAATGTTGGAGAACACTGTTCTCAGCCAGGACTATGGCTCCCAGTGTCCACCCCCTTCCACCAGGTGGGAAGCCTTAAAGGAGAAGCCTTTGACTTGAAGTCTAACATCCCATCGTATCATGGAGCTCTTGGACCAGGGTGTGCCAGAGCTAGCTTTAGGCTATTCTGGTGCTGGTCTCTTCTCATGGCTCTCGGGTATGGAGGTCCCAGTCTCAGGTGCCTCAGGCCTGGCAGGTTCAGGGATCTTAGTGGCTTCTGGGGTCAGGGGTTGCCTCTGCTGACAACACTGGCCCCTCAGATGGTGAGGCTCTCTCCAAGTCACTATAGACAGCTCAGTCATGATGGCCGTATACTTTTATTAAATTTTAAAATGTCATATAGTTTTAAAGGGGCAATTGATAATACTGCAGCAAAGATACATCCAAAATCCTAATTAGAAATTTTCATTAAAAATTTCTCTCACAATTCATTTGCTTGATGGAACATCTATGGATCCTCACTCAGTCTCTCTCT